AGTAGACGGAGCAGGAGCTGTCACTGCTGAGGGGCCTGAGGAGAGCACACAGGCACCTCATCTGGAGAGTCTTGTGGCACAGCTTGGCTCAGCAACCCTCAGACTGCAGCCTGGGATCTCCTAGGGCTAAACTTCCCAGCCAAGCTGTTCTCCCAGGCACTGCTGCTTGGCGTGTGACATCAGCCTGCACGCTCAGGCTCAGGGATTCACCAGCGTGGGGGAGGCACAAAGGCTTTTCTGACTCAAGCTGATCTGTATTCCATGCCCCAGTTACTCAGAGTCATTGTGATGCTTCAGCTGCATGAGCCTGAGCCAGACTGCTAGGTCTGAGATGTGAGTGCAGAATATATATGCCTGGGACATGTTAGCCAAGAGAACAGCAGAATCTAGCAAAGTTAATGCGTGAACAGGCAAAGTTTTGTGAGCAGCTTTCCTGCTGCTGAGGACTGGCTCAATACTTGCCACTTTGCAAACTAGAAGAGGCAGGTGTGTGTCATTAAGTTTTGGCTGCCTTTTCATCAGAGTCAGTTTTCTTTTGGGAGCATTTTTTTGCCATTTATTTAAAAACAAACATAGTGTTGTGTGAACAAAGTAGAAACCTTCACACTCCACTCCTCCCTCCAACAGCTGCATACCTAATGCTGGTTATATTGGCTCTGTACTCTGTGTTCCTTCAGGAATGGTTTATATGCACTGAGCAGTAGGGCCTGTTACACTTCCTTTTTAGATTTAATTGTTACCCACTCTTCATAAGTTCTATACTCAAACATCTTCCCCCTTGTCACTTTTGGATACATAAAGTCCCAGTCCTAGCTTCTGCTCCTTTTTTTCTTTGCTGGACTTCCTCCTCACACTGAACTTTGTGGTTTATGATCCTCCCCAGGAAGGTAACATTTAGTGATCCTGGCACTCCTTACTCTGCTGCAATCACACGTTCCTGTACTTTGTATCCAACTGGGAGTTTTAATCTAAGGAAAGATCATTCCTTCACGCCTTCAGTTGCTCACTATGTTCCTCCTCTTACGGGAAGACAAGATTGTGCGCGTGATCGGAAACACACACAGAAACCAAGGCCACTTCGACTGAACACTGCACACTCAAGGCACTACTGCCCTCACAGCCAGCAGAATCCCCTCCTAAAATAATACTATGTCATTATACTGGATCACGTAGCCTTGCCTTGAACAGAGATCATAGAATCACAGAATCAACCAGGTTGAAAAAGACCTCCAAGATCATCAAGTCCAACCCTACCATGGTTACTAGACCATGGCACTAAGTGCCACATCCAGTCTCAACTTGAAAACCTCCAGGGATGGGGAATCCACCACCTCCCTGGGCAGCATATTCCAATGCCTGATCACTCTCTCCACAAAAAATCTCCTCCTAATGTCCAACCTAACCCTCCCCTGGAAGAGCTTGAGTCTGTGCCCTCTTGTCCTGCTGCTGGTTGCCTGGGAGAAGAGACCAACCCCCACCTGACTCCAACCTCCTGTCAGGGAGTTGGAGAGGGTGATAAGGTCTCCCTTGAGCCTCCTCTTCTCCAGGCTAAACAACCCCTTGCTCTGTGCAGTGGCTTAAGATGCAATTATAAGCTATGATGACAGACCTGAGGAAAAATGACTTAATCCTTCAAAATTCTTCATTCATCACATAGAAAGAATTTCAATTCTGGAAAAAATGTCTGAAAACAATTGCTAAGACAAAAAGTACCTACCAAATGTCAAGGCAATATAAAGTTGGAGAAATTACATTGCTGCTCAACTCTAACACCTGGATAAAACTTACAAAACCACAACTGTAGAGACTAGAGGGAATGGCCTTGAGCTGAGCCAGGGCAGAGTCAGATTGGATGTGAGGAGAAATGTTTTCCCTGTTGTGGTGTTGAGGCCCTGGGATATTGCCCAGAGAGGTGGTGGAGTCACCATCCCTGGAGGTGTTGAAGAGGCATCTGGATCTGGCACTGGAGGATCTGGTTTAGGGTTTAGGGGTTCCAGCAGTGACAGGTTAATGGTTGGACTCGATGATCTTAGAGGTCTCCTCCAACCTTGATGGTCCTGTGATTGGGACATGACTAATCACTTGTTCATTACTTCCCTTCACCCCTGACTGTATTTCCACAGACACACTGATATGAACAGATGCACACACAGGTTGTATCAGTTGGATGAAACCCCCATGTTACTGCTGCAGATGATCAAGAAGCCAATGACAAAGAAAAGACAGAGGAACCAGACTGCCATTCACAAAAAAGGGGGAAAAAAGACAGTCACATTTCAAGTGAATCCCACATTTAAACCTCCAACCCCATCCCAAGTGCTGCTACTAGAATTGGCTTCACAAAAACGTTGTTCAAAGAAGGTTTTGTCTAGAAATCCACATTAATTCTAAGTTAGTATCACCACGTTTTATCTGTACATACACACAGTCTTTACCAGGTGCCAACAACATTTTCACAGGTATTACAACACTTGATACCCCAGAAATAACATGTAAAAACCTCCTATTGTAACACTCCATCAAACCAGACGATTTCTTCCAGTTTGGATGCAACTGTGATCCAGCTGGTTAGAGAAACAATGCAGTTAATGCCTCAGTTAATGACAGCCAATTTCCTTTCAGCTGTTTTTAGTCAGTGATAGTAGAACAACAAATCACAGACCCAGCATATTTTAAAGAATTAAAAACCCCACAAAATAGAAGAAAAGTTTCTTGAGTTTCACCTAGAGCAATTATCTAGGAGACTTTTTTTTGTTGGGATGGTTCCCAGCAAAAAAAGTGAGCTCAGTAAACTGTAGAAAACAAGAATTTTGTGATTTAACAATGTGACTTTTAATTATTTACTGTTTTGGGGTTGGTTTTTTTTGTAGAAAAGCTTTCAGAGGCACAGCTCAAGGCACAGCTAACACCTATGTGTTCAGTTTATCAAGTGCACTGAGTTCGCGGCAAGGAATAATCTTCTGTAGACAGTAAGAACTTATGTTCCCAATAAAACTGCTCCAGATTGTTCTTTTTGCCTCTCCCTAAAACTGCTGAATAGCACAGCTGTTACAGACATGATGTTCAAATCCAAGTGCTCTGCAAACACCTATTTTTCTGCTCTGGGTTTGCTGGTATTGAAACACAGAGAAAGCTTTGAGACCCCCTGCAAAATCAGCCAGCAAATCATCTCCTTTGCTTAAGAGCTTTAAACCCTGTTTTCTGACAGGGTTCTCTGAGAAATTCCAATTCAGTATTATCCGGTATCAACTTCAGTTGTTTCAGCATTATTACAACTATAACTATCCTCAAACCTCATGGCAGTTTTTATGTTCATAGAATGTTGTATCATAGAATTTTAGGGGTTGGAACGGAGCTTAGAGATCATCCAGCCCCAATCCCCTGCCCTGGGCAGGGACACCTCCCACCACACCAGGTTGCTCAAGGTTTCATCCAACCTGGCTGTGAACACTGCCAGGGTTGGGGCAGCCACAGCCTCCCTGGGCAACTTGTGCCAGTGTCTCACCACTCTCACAGCAAAAAAACCTCCTCCCAAAATCCCATCTCAATTTCCCCTCTCTCGATTTATCCCCATTACTCCTTGTCCTTTCACTATAGTTCCTAATAAAGAACTTGTCCCAAGGACTTTCACAGCTTCAGGAACTGCCCTGTAATTAGTTAGCAGGGAGAAATGTTGGCATTCACTAAGGTTTATAGGAGGTTATTTTACACAGTACAAATATCTTGGCTAAGTAGACAAGGAGACAGGTCTGAGTATCTTGCTTTTCTTCACGCCTCCCATCAGTTGGTTATTCCTCTCTTCCCCTCTACTTTTAGACAATGCAATTCAGTGTTTTCTGGCATTCTGAGAGGAAAAGATTCAGAACTGCTTAAAGGCACTTTCTAGTTTCTCCATGGCAGCTGTTTCAAGCAGAATATTTAGTCAAGCCATTTGCTACCTACAGAAATGTCGATCAACAGAAGCTAAGGTATGAGAACAACAAAATAGAGGCAATTAAAAAGAACAGGATTCACCCACCAAGGAGTGGTGGAGTCACCATCCCTGGAACTGTTGAAGAGGCATCTGGATCTGGCACTGGAGGATCTGGTTTAGGATTTAGGGGTTCCAGCAGTGACAGGTTAATGGTTGGACCTGATGATCTTAGAGGTCTCCTCCAACCTTGATGGTTCTGATTTGAACCTACATTGTATGTTAACTCAACATCCTAATCCTTACACACAGAAAATACTAGTTTTGCCAACTTGAAAAGCTCAGACTCCTTCCATCCTACTCAAAAGCAAATTTAAGGGTATGACCATTAGAAGTTAACTACATACAAACACACAGGCTTTGACAGGGCTAAAGTACAGTGCATCAACTGTCTAAAAACCTACCAGCAGCCATGTCAGTTATACTGAGATTTCACAAAGTGCTTTGATCTTGACATTTTTAAAACAAAGATGACAAGCAGTAAAGTTTTCCATACTCAAGAGTGCAGCAACATTCTTCGAATGAGAAAATTCTCTCAAAGAGTTGACAACACACTGCCAAACTGACAAGCTGGTCCTTATAGGGACCATAAGCTGAGCTGAAACCTCCTAAACTGAGACAAGGCAGAGTCAGATTGGATGTGAGGAGAAATGTTTTCCCTGTGAGGGTGTTCAGGCACTGGGATATTGCCCAGGGAGGTGGTGGAGTCACCATCCCTGGAGATGTTGAAGACATGTCTTAATCTGGCACTGTAGGATATGGATTAGGATTTAGAGATTCTAGTAGTGACAGGTTAATGGTTGGACTCTATGATCTTTGAGGTCTCCTCCAGCCTTGATGGTTCTATGACTACATGAAACAGCTTTGTGTCATGGGGCTTTTTGCCTTGTTTTAGAAAGCATCCTTTCTTATCTTGACCAAGCTCTACCACATCAAACACATGTCACAAAAGACATCACAGCTTTACAACACAAGTGCATGTTAGGCATTTCTTTAGCATCAGGCTTAGAAGACCACAAAGTGAACATACCTGTGTTCTGTGAGGACATTTACTGCTGATGGGTGGTTGGCACAGTATGTAAGGTATAAGCTCTTCATTTGTGGCATCAAGTTTAGAAAACATCCTCCAACTCTCTGCTGAGCTTCAGGCAACCTGAAAACAGAGTGACAAAGATGAAGTTACTGGAATACCAACCAGGCACAGAAATAAAGACCAGAAAAGCAGTGTGTTAGGTGCTGGTTTGGGCTGGGGGAGAGTTAATTTAGTTGCCAGTGGCTAGTACAGGACTGTGTTTTGGACTTGTTTCTGTTACGGCTGAGCAGAGCAGAGTCCCTTGCTGTTTTCTGTACCGCCACACTGGCAAGGGAGTTGGGGGTGCATGGGAGACTGGGAGGAGACACAGCTGGGACAGGTGACCCAAACTGACCAAAGGGATATTCCATACCATAGGACATCATGATCAGTATATAAAGTGGGAGGAAGAAGGAGGAAGGGGAGGATGTGAGTAGAGCAAGTGGCACTTGGTGGCACAGTGAGAAACCCTGGGATCCAAACGCCATTCCCAAAAACCTTTTCCCCAACTCTAGCAGTGTACAAAGCCAGGCTGGATAAAGCCTTGAGCAACCTGCTCTGGTGGGAGCCCAGGGGGTTTCAGAAACCCCCAGCTAACACAGCATGCCAGACACACTCTGCCCATGTTATCAGCATCCCTTGCATTACAGGTAGGACTCACAGCTTATTGCCTGCAGCTTTAACTCTGTCCAAAAAGAAGGTTTACGCTCTGAAATAAATAGTGGCTCTTTTGCAGGAGTCTAGGGGAGAACCAGGGGCATTCCCCAGCACAGAGGGAATGCTACTGTCACAGTCTGCCAAGCCTAGCAGCTGCTCCCCTTGAATCAATCGAAGCATGAGCTAATAACACATTCTTCAAGCAACAGATGCAGCAAACGTCTCAAGCTCTGAAGACATACTCAAGGCACACAGCTCAGCACTAAGTAACAAGAGGCTGCACTAAACAGTTGCTAAAAATGGTTAAACTCCCATTCCATGGTGCAGTGCCAGGGGTGGAGGGTGGATTCTGGCTCCTTGCTCCAGGCAGACATCTGTGTTCTCTCTGTCTGCTGTGCTTTTAGCCAAACCCAAGACTGACAGCTCTCCCTCACATGTTGCACATGCACTGCCACTTTGTACTGCACGTTCTTTGCTGAATTAAGACAATTAACAGACTTTCTAAGGGGGTGGCAACTCATCCCCTCTGACTTCTCTACTCCATGCATTAGCTGCAGGTTCAGTAGGCCAATTATCTGTATCTCCTTTAACTGCTGAAAAGGCTAATGGTTGGACTTGATAACCTTAGAGAGCTCCTCCAGCACTGATGGTTCTATGATTCTAAACAACATAATGCCTATCACCACATCACACAAATATTAGAGTCAACATGTTCAATAAAGAGCACAGTTATGTTTCAATCTATTCTGAAGTTGTCATCCTCATACTCCTCTCCTGGTTGGTACTTTAATGAAAAAGGAATCACCTATAAATATTTACTCACATATAAATGATAACCTCAGTTATAAAAACCCAAAGGCATGTTATAACTCTCTGTATAACTATATACTGCACACAGTTCTGGTGTCTCAAGGTGAGAAGGACGTGGAACTGTTGGAGCAAGTCCAGAGGAGGCCACCAGGTTGCTAAGAGCACTGGAGCATCTCCCCTATGAGGACAGGCTGAGGGAGTTGGGACTGTTCAGCCTGGAGAAGAGAAGGTTGTGTGGAGACCTCAGAGCAACTTTTCAATATCTGAAGGGGCTACAAGGAGCCAGAGAGGGACTCTATGTTAGGAGCTGCAGTGACAGGACAAGGGCTAATGGGTTCAATTGAAGGAAGGGAAGGTTAGGTTAGATATTAGAAAGAGGTTTTCATCTGTGAGGGTGGTGAGACACTGGCACAGGTTGCCCAGGGATGTGGTGGCTGACTTGACCCTGGCAGTGTTCACAGCCAGGTTGGATGAAGCCTTGAGCAACCTAATCTAACAAGGAGGTGTCCGTGCCCAGGGCAGGGGGTTGGGACTAGACAATCTCTAAGCTCCATTCCAGCCCTAAAATTTTATGATTCTATGATTTACAGGTAAGAGTTGTATTGTCTATACTATTACAGATGTAAGAGAACCAAACAAAGCCTCTGCTGTGGTACCTGTGCTAGAGGCATCATCTTATGACTACACCTAAACTACCTAATATTAGCTGCTTGTAGCAGTTATATTCAGCAGCTATCAATTCCATTGCTTCAGACTTGCACCAGGCTCCCATTGCATGATCCTCTGAAGAAAGAAAAAGTAAGTAGGACTGAACAACAAGGTTGGTTTTAAGGCTGATCAAACCCTGCAATCAGAGCTGGACTGAAGGAGACTGGCAGCTGACAGAAAAAGGGTGACAGTACAAGGCAGCCAATCATGGGCTGCATGTTCTGGAGAAATCTGCTCCCAGGTGAATGGAAGAATTATTTATTGACTAGGAGATCAAATCAGATTCAATCTCCTGCTGCAAAAATACCCATAGACCAACACTTCCAATGGAGACTGTTCAGAGTCCAGAGATTACCTGGTGGACACTGACTTTGTTCATGGAGACTACTGCTCTGTGAGCCACTGCAGAACTGGATATTAGACTGGGAAAGAGACCTAGAGCACTGGATCACTTCTGTCTTCAAAAGGCTGGAGCAGGGAGCACTCTTGGTCTGTTTTACTGTCAGAAATCCACCCTTTGGCAGCTGAAGACTCCAGCAGCACCTCCCTGCCTTGTCAGTCACAGTCCTTTTCCATCCATGAACAAAGTGCACTTGAAGCTGATCAGGCAAAAAAAGGCACTTTTGAAGCAGATTAGCCAGAAGATTCTCACCCAATGCCAGTTAGACTTACTCCAAACACCACTTTTGTTTGGTAAATGAAGCAGAGATGTTAGAAAGGCAGAAGTCACCTCAGCCTGGACAAGTTCAAAGAGAACAAAACCTTGAGCAATGAACCATAAGAGCTTCGAGGCTGTGGACAAGGTGTGATGGTGGCATAGGACTAAAACCAAAGGCAGGGCTGGAGAAATGTGTGGTATGGTCTGCCCTGCCATGGCTGCAGGGAGAGGACTAGAGGGAATGGCCTTGAGCTGAGCCAGGGCAGAGTCAGATTGGATGTGAGGAGAAATGTTTCCCCTGTGAGCAGAGCAATGAACCATAAGAGCTTCGAGGCTGTGGACAAGGTGTGATGGTGGCATAGGACTAAAACCAAAGGCAGGGCTGGAGAAATGTGTGGTATGGTCTGCCCTGCCATGGCTGCAGGGAGAGGACTAGAGGGAATGGCCTTGAGCTGAGCCAGGGCAGAGTCAGATTGGATGTGAGGAGAAATGTTTCCCCTGTGAGCATGTTACTGGGACATGACATTGCCCAGGGAGGTGGTGGAGTCACCATCCCTGGAGGTGCTGAAGAGGCATCTGGATCTGACACTGGAGGATTTGGTTTAGGGTTTAGGGGTTCCAGCAGTGACAGGTTAATATCTGGACTCAATCTTAGAGATCTCCTTGAACCTTGATGGTTCTATGAGTCTATGAAACCAAACCACACCCAAACACCTACTTGCCCTGAAACACACAAAGCAGTCACTACAGCATAATATGTCAAAAAAACCCTCCACAAACCAATGTTGCACACTATGAGGACTAAACAAGCCAAAGTGGTGCAGGCAAAAAGGAGCAAAGCACATGAAAGTTTCTGCCACTTATGTATACGCCAGGGTTTGCTAAGAGAAAACTCCAATATCCAACTGTCTCAAGGGGGGTGTGGAATTCAAACACGCTCAATTCTCGTGCCCAGGAACAAGGACTTGTCAAGCAAGGCAGGCTGGCAGCACTGCAACTGGCAGGACATCAGCATCTGGTCATCCTGACAAGTTAGAAGAAACACCCCACCGGATGCTGCACTACCAAGTGCCTCAGTGATGGAACTATCAGCTCTCTGCCAAAAATAAAGTGATAAATCTATTTTCAACCCTGGAGCTAGTCTGAGGTTACAGAACAGGTTCACCAGCCAAAAAAACATGGCAAAGTGACAATAACAGGAAAAAACCAAAAAGGCAGCAGAGCAAGCATTTTTCCACGTGATGGGGATTCTGATGGATTAGATCCCAAACAGAAGGATGCTGGGTGCTCGAGTCAGTGTGCTATGACGGAAATGAAACTGAAGATATAACTTGGCACGAGTAGCATATTTATGAGATGAAAACATAAAATCTTTGCAGTACCCCTTCAGTAACTAAGGCATCACTTCCTTTGCCCACCTACCAGCACCCAGAGTGTTCCTGCTCAATTAAACACCAGCACCTCACTCAGCAAAAGCAAGAAATAAAGGGCATTGTGAGCAGGTGTTTATTCTACTCTATTAATCAAGCAGAGTTTAATCAAGCTTTCTGAGCTACAAGCCACACCATGATATCACATAACCTACATTCCAGGCCAAAACAAAGCTTACATTAATATTTCCTTAAAAACATATTTTCTTCCAGTCTTGTTTTTCAGATCAGCTTAATGAAAGGATACAAAAGATGACAGTCTGTTCCATGCAAAGTACTTCACTTCTCCTGATTCAAAGGAACAGAATCACGGGAACAAAAGAATGAGGCAACAAGTGACAGCAGAAGAAGGAAACATTTGAGTATGTCCACAAATGGACACTTTCAGGGATTTTGACATTTAACAGCATCACTGTCACAGAGTCTAGTTGGAGGCTGTCACTGGTGGTGTCCCCCAGGGATCCATACTGGGAGCAAGTTTGTTCAACTGATCCAACAGTGACTTGGCTGAGGGGACAGTGTTCTCAGCAAGTTCCTGATGATACAACACTGGGAGCAGTGGTGAGATAGCTCAGAGGGCTGTGCTGCCCTT